GAAGATTTGTTTAAATTTCTATTTCTTTTGAAATAACCGGGTCTGGAGGAAAGACTACGCTCTATACCCATGTTATTCCACAGGAATGAGATGGTGAGGTCTGAGTTTGAAGATTTTTTTTATTTTTTAAATAACCAAGTCTGAAGTAAAGACTACGCTATAATCCCTTGCTTTATTACCGGGTCTTAATTTGGAAGATAAAGGGGTCTTAGTTTAAAAGGTTTTTTTTTTTTTTTTTTTAAACTTTTGAATAACCGGGTCTGGAGGAAAGACTACGCTCAATACTCATGTTCTTCCACAGGAATAAGATGATGGGGTCTTAGTTTTGAAGATTTTTTAAAAGTTTTGAAATAACCGGGTCTGGAAGAAAACTACGCTCTAAACCCATGCTTTATTACCAGGTCTTAGTTTGGAAGATGGTGGGGTCTTAGTTTAAAAGTTTTTTTTTAATTTTTTTTTTATACTTTTGAATAACCGGGTCTGGAGGAAAGACTACGCTCGATTCTCATGTTATTCCACAGGAAAAGGATTATGGCGTCTTAGTTTTGAAGATTTTTTAAATTTTTGAAATAACCGGGTCTGCATGGAGTAAAGACTGCGCGCTATACCCATGTTTTATTACAGGTTTTAGTTTTGAACAAATTCGACAAAATATCCCTTCAAATTTATTACATTTGTGGGTAAAGTCATTATTACATTTGTGGGTGATTCAAAATTATTACATTTGTGGGTAAAGTGGTTATAACATATGAGGGTGAAATTATTACATTTGTGGGTAAAGTGTTATTACATTTGTGGGTATTATAACATTTGTGGGTAAAGTGTTAGGGCGTTATTACATTTGTGGGTGTAACAGGGGTTGGCTGAAGTGGACATAATGAACCAAGCAGAACTGATATATGATAATTCATGCTTGTTATCCTTCGTGTGCTTGACATATAATCTTACAATCGCGTGGTAAATTGCGTCCAAAGTTCGACTTGTTACAGATGCGTTATAGGCAATGGCGAGCTTGCGACCTATTTTGATTAAATTAAGGTGGGTGAACTTTCAAAAGTCAATGGGACATGAGGGTTCCAATGAAAGAGCTAGTGTCAACGTACGTCGGGTGGATGTGCTTTTCGTTTTAAAAAAAAAAGATTTTTTTTTTTTTAACGATTTTGTTTGTAAAAGTCCATATGCTAACATGTTAGGAAAAAGAGGAAAAAGGGAAAAAAAAAGGGGGGGAAGAGAGGGAAAGGGAAATAAAAGAAGAAAAAAAGAAAAGAAAAGAAAGAAAGGAAAAGAAAGGAAAGAAAGAGGAGAGAAAGAAGAAAGAGAAAAAAAGAAAAAGGAGGGAAAGGACAGAAAGGAAAAGAAAGAAAAGAAAGAAAAGGAGAAAACGAAAAAGCAGAAGAAAAGAGAGAAAAGGGAAAGAGATTAGAGTGAGGGGAGGTTGGAGTCAGAGACAGGAGGGGTGGGAGTAAAAGGGAGATAAGGTTGTTGGATGGAGTCGTCTAGTCGAGGGAGCAAAAAAGACACGCATGAATATGTTGCTGTGTCGGATCAGCTGCGTCGGTATTCTTGCTCGATCCTCGTGTACCAAGATGTATCAATGCAGAAGTTTGAAGTTGCTGGGATGTAAATGTCGGTCGGCCGACAAGCTTTTTAATAAAAATGTAATAAATAAAAATGAAATAAAATGCCTAAAACCCCTAAGTTTCCGGGACTCCTCGACCCCACCAGGGGCCCTAAGGCGGCCCCTGCATGCTTGTCTGACAGTTAAAATATGCCTAAAACCCATGAGCTTCTGGGGGTTCCGCCCCATGGACCCCACGCCAATTATTGACCTGCAAATTCACAAATAAGATTATGCTCATCTGAGGTAATTAAATGCCTAAAGCCCTGAGCTTCCGTTGCTCTGCCCCCCCCCCCCGAACCCAGACAATGTCCCTAAAGCGGGCCCTAGCTGGATGCTCATCTGACCGTAATCTGTTGCCTAACACCCCTGAGCCTCCGGGGGCTCCGCCTCCTGGACCCCACGCCAATTGTGTCCTGCCAGGGTCACAAATAAGGGATCAAAATATGCTCATCTGACAGTAATTAAATGCCTATACCTCCTGAGCTTTTGGGGGCTCCACCCCTTGACCCCCGCCGAGAAACGTTCAGCGGGACCTGCATGTAAGAGTAGGGGTGATGGGGATTTTTTTTTTGGTCTACCCCCCCCCCCCAAAAAAAAAAAAAAAAAAAAAAAAACGTTTTTGCCACTGCCGTTGTCACCATTACGTACCAATGTTTTAAATTTGGCCCCCCCCCTAAGAAATCCTGGATCCGCGCCTGCTTTAAACAACAGTCATATTAGGTTATTGTCTTCATAGGCATGACTCGCTTTTTAGCACATATAATAACGAGGGCAATCTGTCACAAGCTGAATTCGGGAGGCCCGAGAAACAAGCAGATGACATTTTGAAAGGGCAATTATGAATGCTTGAAGGCTGAGAGTGCTAAATCTACGTCAATCTCAAGTTCGCGAATTGGTCCACCCAAAACTAAAATTGCTATGAAGGTAAGTTTAGACCCCAAAATGTGTGAAATTTAGCCAATACGATCAAAACAGTTCAGCTCCACTTTAAACAAAATACGGTGACCGTTAATTAATTGATTAATTAATCATAAATAACAATACACGGGCCGGCTTGTGCGAATTACAACCAACAACAACCCCCCCCCCCCCCTTCCCGAGAAAAATAAATAAATAAATAAAAAATAAATAAATAAATAAATAACAATAAAAAATAATAATAATAATTTTAAAAAAATAATAATAATAATAATTATAATAAAAAAAGAAAAAAAAGAAAAAAGAAACAGCATCGGCATTGGCTGGAATAAAACGTATAACGGCTAGTATAAATTAACAAACATAATGTGGGACACCACAAATATTAGAAATCGTTAAATTCATGGATATTTCAGCCGTCTCTAAACCGATCCCGATCAATCAAAGATGATCTTGTCATCTAAATTTTATGGTGTTTGAAATTTGACACTCAGCTTTTCATTATCTCACATTTTGTGTGGCGCCCTCTGCAACAATCAAATAATCAAATGCTCGTTGCATATTTGTTCTGTATTCACATTATTTTGTTGAAGGTCCGATAATTAGTGTCACTGAAAACATGATGTCTCCCTTTTAATATACCTACTCTATCTTCCTCTACTTCTGTTGTCAACCCAATATAAACAGTTTTCCCAATCTCAAGATATCATACTTGTGTGAATTCCCTATCCCCCCCCCTCTCTCTCTCTCTCTCTCTCTTTCTCTATCCGTCTCTCTCTCTCTCTCTCCTCTCTCTCTCTCTCTCTCCCTATTTCTCTCTCTCCTCCTCTCTCTTTCTATCCCTATTTCCCTCCTTCTCTCTCTCTCTCTCTCTCCGTCTTTCTCCCCCTCTCTCCCTCTCTCTCTCGCGGCCTTCTCTTCCCCCTTTCCTTTATTTTCCAAGAAAAAAATGTGCGTTGATAAGGAGGAAAATATTGATAAACATTGTCAGACAATAAGTATGATAATATATATATAGAAAGAGAGAGAGAGAGAGAGGGGGGGGGGTTGAGAGAGAGAGAGAGAGAGAGAGGGGGGTTGAGAGAGAGAGAGAGAGAGAGAGAGAGAGAGATGAGGGGGAGGGGCGAACGATTATTGTGTTATCATTCATAGCGTAATGTTGAAAAAACGGATTTCATCATCAAGACAAATAAGTGCAATCAAATCATTATTTTTCTACGATGATCTATTTAATGAATTAAACAATTTGTCTATGAACCGTGAACGTTACAAATAAATGTTAATCTTGATGACACATAGCTTTACTTTGATTACAGGAGACAAACTAAATTTAACAACTAAACTTTAAATAACTTATCAAAGCATTCCACTTTTAGCCCCTCCATCTGCTTTTCTCCCCACATTCCCTCGCCTTTCCTTCCTCATCTCTAAAGTTATCTGAGAGTTTAAGAAAGTACATTAACAGACATTGTGTTTTGCTTTCTATTGTAACGATGATTTTACAACGAATTCTAATAATATACAGTGCACATACAATGTACAAAGTACAATGTACATTAATCGTGTGAATGCTTACCCGCTTACTACAATTATATCGCAGTTCATATGTTCGTATGTTGCAAAAAGTATGAGCATCCCTCTATTAAACTATCTTTCATGATTGTAATAGGACAGAAAACTGAGTGAGAAGAGCTTTTGTATTGGTTGAGAGCTCTTCAAGTGACCAGAAATATTTCAACAATTTTAAGGTTGCTCTGAAAAAGTACTATTTGGGATAACTATTTGGGAGTTTTTTCTTCTTCAAACTATATTATTTTAAATACAGGATCAAAAAAAAAAAATCTTTCTCATTTTAATGAACTTTCAGTATTAAAGCCCCACTGTCCTACTTGTAGCTACTTGCTCCCTCTTTATAGAAACTTCCCCAATCGGTGCCTGTTGGTCCCCCATGATCCTCTATTTCTTATGTTATTTGAGAGCTGAGTTGATTAGATAGCCACCTGTCAGTGACCTCGCTGTGCGGTCTAATCCCTCCTGGCGAAACTAGTAAAGATAAGCTTTAAAACCAAAATGTCTAAAACGTTTTTTTGTATAATCTTAATGATGTTAAAACATGGTCTTACAATAATTCCTTGTTCTTGAATGAAAAGAAAACACAAGTAATTCATGTTTCCTCACGATTTCGCCAAACTGGATGCCCTGCAATATTGTTGGAAGGCCATGTTTTACAACCATCAGAAATCGTTCGAAATGTAGGTGTTATATGTGGAAAACATTTATTACTGACTGATCAAGTAAGTAAGGTTTCCGTGTAGTCTCCTTCTCCTTATATAAAATAGGACAGATTAGGTGTTACTTAGATGAGAAACTGACAGAACGACTAGTTCATAGTCTTGTAATATGTCATATCAATAATGCTCTTCTCTACAATCTACCTGAAAAGCAACTGAATCGAATCCAAAGAATCCAAAATTCTGCCGCACGGCTTGTTACGAGATCTCGTTTAAGTGAACATAATTATCTACCCTATTCTGAAAAAAACTACACTGGTTACTTGTCCGCGCTAGAATTGAGTTCAAGAACCTTGTTTTAACCTTTAAGTGCCTGAAATGATTAACTCCTTCTTATTTAACGGAATTACTTAACCTCTTTGTTTAAAACAGAACCCTCAGATCTTCCCAAAAGTCTCTCCTCACCATTCCACAAATAAATTCTAAATTCTACGGGTCTCGCTCTTTTATCCCACAGGTGTACACATGTGGAGTATTTCGATGTACTTGTCTGTATCCGGACATGGATCTGTGCCTAAGACTACTGGGCCTGTATGAAACTGACATTTTAACTGAGATTCACACCGGTCCTTGACGTTAAACAGGGCTTCCTCCGATGAACAGTCGAAATCGCTGTCGTTTGATGGAGGACAAGTGAGCGTAGCTTGACGGCGATATGTAACTCCGACGATAGTTATTTCTTCGCCAGGTTGACACTCAATCGCAATAGGTCCATTATTTTCACATGCAAGTGATACAACTACATAGGTGCATGCAGCGATAGAGGGAGAGAGAAAGAGAGAGAGAGAGAGGGGGGTAAAAAAAAAGTATAAAATAATTTACATGTTTATGAATTGAAACACAATTAAAATTTTGTTATTCTACACCTCTTTGATTCTGAGTTTTTAATTTACTGTTGGGCAAATTGCCATGATGACTTGCTAGAAAAAAAAGGTTTTTCTTTCTTCTTCTTCTTCTTATTTTTTCAAGGTGAAAATATCCCTTGTAATAAATATTGTAAAAGGTCATAATTTTAAACTTTAAGCATGATGGCAAAATAATCATTATTAGCAAAATTGCAGTCACTATTCTTTCAGTCTTGAATGTTATGTTAATGTCTTATTCACCCCATTTGTTGTGTATAAAAATGAGGGCTTTAATATTGACTCATAGACAGAAAAACACTTAGTCTTTTATTTGAAATTTTGTACCTACTTTCATGAACCCATCTTGCTGCAGCTGATAGTTTTAAGATTAGTTTCTTTGATGGCAAGTATAGGTAAATAAAAGGTGGCTTGGCGTAATTACTATACATGTATATTGGTGTGTGTTATAAGATACAGATATCTGAAGCGTGATACGCTTACGCGCCATTCCTTGTTTTCTTCAGTATAACTCGCTGCTTATCTAGCTACTCTTTTGGATTTAGTATCGAGTCCTCTTCTATGCTTAATAAAAATTATAATTAATTAATGATACGTATTTGTAAAGCTTAGATCATCCTCTTTCATTTGATGCAACTCATATGATCCATATTTTACGCATGAGTGATTAAAAGCAATTTAAATAGAGGGTACCAAAAAGTCATTTGGCGGGCGGTGTTTAAATTTCACAGAGAAAATCACATTCTAAAAATTTTATTTTCTGCCCTTTCATATGCCGCCTAAATCAGGAAAAATGAGCCAGGAATAACAAAGTTGTTGCTGCATGGCTGATCGTCAAACCGGAGTTAAGTCTTTCGTCAACTCTGTTTGTTGCTACGACAGGCAGCCAGTGAAAACGAATTCGATTAATCAAATTATGGAAATGCAAGCATTACTTTACCCCCCCCCCCCCCTCTCCTCTGGGAACGGAGGGACCGCATTCATGTACCCAAAATCTCCGGTAAAGGGGGTAAGTTCACGCAACAAAGTCCGGCTCGTCATACACAAAGAAATCGGCCCGTATTGACTTTACTCACCGGACTTTAAGGGGGTGCTTTCAAAGGCTCATTTTTCCTGATTGAGGTGTCATAATTATGAAAGGGCAAAATATGAACTTTCTAGAAATGTGATTTTTCTCTGTGAAATTCAAATACCGCCCGCCAAATGACTTTTTGGTTTCCTCTCTTCAAATCGCTTTCAATCGCTAATGCGTGAAATATACATCATACGAGTTGCATCAAAGTAATGAAAGAGGAAGAGGATCTAAGCTTTACAAATATTTGTCATTTATTATTTATAATTGTGATTAAAGGTACTATGTCCCTTTTGCAGCCAACCTCAAATTCTGAAGAACTTTGCAGGAATTATTAATAAGACATGTATGTCCTATCTGTGAAATTTAAACGTTAGCAGTATCCTCATATTCAAATTATGGAAGGAAACCTGTTTACTTGCTAGACTTCACTGTCAGACATATTGAGTGACTGACTGGCTTTTTTTCTTTTTTGGTAATAACATACATGAAAAGAGTTGTAAAGGGTACATGAGCATTTGTCTACATCCATAACCCAATTTTTGTGATGGCCAAGATTAAACTGATTGAATCTTTGCGCAGCATAAAACGTATGACCATTCGGTACAATTATTGTCTGAAAATCAAGACTATTACTTTTGGGCTCTATAGCCCTAAAGTCGATTTGACAACTAATAGTCGTTATTTTCCTACTTGAAGACATTTTTAAGCCCCACCTTTTTTTAGGGAAGTTCTAAATTAGTATTATCTTTCAAATGCAGTTGGAATTTAACTTTTTCATTTTTTTGGCCTGCAAATGGGACATAGTACCTTTAAGCTATGATAAAACATAGATAATTCTCGGTTTCATTTTTTTCTGGGACGCACTGTATGACGCACTGTTGGCACTGTTGGCATTAAAAAATAATGTACAAATGTCGAAAACCGATTGAATATGTTAAGTATTGGCTGAGATATGACCATCTGAATAGATTTATGTCCTATGGGAACTCAGTGTTATAGTGCTCTGGTTCCTAATGTACCACTGAGTTCCCAAAGGACATCTATTTATTCAGATGGTCATATCGCAGCCGATACTATATATATTCAATTGGTTTCCGACATTCGTACATTATTTTGGATGCTCTTTCGGAAAATGAAGAAAAAAATTGAGAAATTCTAAAAATAGATTTTTGACGACGTCACACTGACTTCACCACTCTATAACTCCTTGTGTGCAACGGCCATTACTTACATGGTTCATCAGACGAGTCAGACGTCTCAGACGACTCAGACGACTCAGACGACTCAGACGAGCTTGAAGAAGAACGCTTGTTATGCTCAAGGACAGCCTTTCTTGCTTGACGTTCAGTGAACTCGTCGTCGTCATAAACCAGTCCCCGGTCCCCGGCTAAAGTTTTAATTAGAAAACAACACGTATAAGTATGTTTTTTCCTAAAAGTATTCATAAGTAATAACGTGAGACGCTTATTGTTTGCTATCATGTGTTTGTTATCCATGTAACATGGATGTAGGGGAGACTGGGGACAATAATATTGTAACATTTTTTTCTTCTTCAAAGTCTGACATATCAACTTTTTAAAAGTTTAATACTTACTTAAAGGCATATGAAATGAAAGATGCATATCTTGGCTTGAATTATGAATAGGTTTGGGTTAAGTAAAACAGGTTTAATATTTGATCATTTCAAACCCGGAAGTCAAGTGTTGCAATTGCTCCCACAACACGGGGCAATTGTAACACACCCATGGGGCAGTTGTAACCACATTCAATAGACCAGTTTGTAGTTAGCACATGTCGTCAGAGGACCCCAAATATCCACAGATCTTTTAAACATAGATAAATCCCACTTTGTGCCTTTCTGAATAATGCACAGCTAAAGACATGGAGGTGATTCTTTGTTTGCCCTCTTAAAATGATTACTTCCACCTGTGCTCAATAGAATGTATCACAGGTGCATGCATTAATAATGATTACATAACTTTCGTGAGCAGGTGTCCAGTATTAGTCTCGGTGGGTTTAAAATTGTGTACAAGTGACCTTTATCTGCGCATGCGCAGATTGTATCTATGAACTGGGGGGGGGGGGGTGTTTCAAAAAGATCCTAAGTAGGACATAACTCTAAGTTGGACTTTAAAATTATGGACAGCCATTGGAGTCTTAAAATGAAATATATTCAAAAGCAGAAATTCAAGTATTTTAGACTTTTTATGAATTCCACATCCAGAACATGAAATCTCCTTGATGATAGAAAATATGAATGATTTGAATAAACAATTAATGCCTTTCAAAATAACTTTTACAAAACATTTTCAAAGATGCTAATGGCTTTCCATAATTTTTAAGTCCAACTTAGGAACTATATGTGAAACACCCCCCTGGTCTATTGTACCAACACATCATATTCCAGGATTTTTTAATTTTAATTTTTACTTTGTTTGATTATTTTATAGAACCCCAGTAAAGTAATTTTAATAAAAACTGTGACAAATGCTTGACTCATTTAGATTACGGTATATTTTGTCCAGTTATATGGGGACAATAATAGTTATTACGTTGTTACAGTTGCCCCCCCCCCCCCCCCCCCGAGGAGGGCGGCCATATTTTGTTGTATCTTAGCATTAGTATTCGTCGTTGAAACTGCCGCCAAATACAGGCCTAAAAACTTATTTTTTGACCATATGAAAATGACAGTGAAAGCTCAAGCAAATATTTGTCGAGACAAAAAATTAGGTTATTCAAGATTTTACTTCCGGGTTAAAAAAAAACGATGTTTGGGGTGTAAAAAGTTCATCGATGTGTTGACCTCCCTTCCCCCAGGACAGCATGTGGGGCAATGGAATGCGCATGTTCTCTGCAGAGCGTTTGTATATAGCGCGTTTATACTAGTATAGGGAGGGAGCCTCTGTTACATTTGCCCCGTGTTACAATAATGTCCCCAGTCTCCCCTACCCAATGTATAAATAATTATTTACATGATCCGAATGTTCCATTTGTATGAATATGAATACACCGTACATAAAACATGCTTACTATAACAGGGTTGCATAGCATTTTTTTTTATTGACACCCCCCCCCCTCTCTCTCTCTCTCTCCCTCTTTCTCTCTCTCTCTCTCTCTCTCTCTCTACTTATAGAGAAGGGGTGGGATGAGGTGGGTGGAGATTTGACAACTTGAAGAAAAAAAGATTCCCAGTATTAGTAATTAGCCGGCAAATTTGATCAGAAATTCTCCTTCCAAACCGATCTAGCGACATGCAGACATTTAGACCAATATCATGAGAAAAACTGCTACCTTCATCTTTGCACGAACGAAGCAAAACAATTTTTTTTTTCAAAGGCTTCAAAATTGTAATAATCTAGACAAATACAAAACACGTGCTCAGTCTGTAATCATAATTCATTTACGCACCATTTCTTGCATTTCATTATAAAGATCGCGCGACCCCCCCCCCCCCCCCCCCCCCCCCCCCCCCACAATACCCGAAAATACATCCGTCGAGAGAGAGAGAGAGAGAGAGGAAAGGACCGTCTCCGGTTTAGCGTTGAGGGTGCATTATTTTCTCATCTGATTGGGCGCGCGACACGGAAACAGTCCAGGCAGTTGACTAAATAAACAAGTGAAATTTTCATGGTAATTTTGTTTCTGAAAACGAGGCAAAACCGTAACATATATATATATATCATATTATAAGTGCCTTCGTCACTTCGGGATGCAGAGCTTAGGAACCCTATATATGCTAAGAAATAATGTACCTAATTGACATAATTTGTGACAGGGGATACATACGGACTAGTTTATTTAAAAATAATCTTTGAATCGGAGTGAACTTCCTGACAGTAAACAAAATGGACTAATTAGACAAATTTACTTACCGTTTCTACCATGCACCATCATTTGGCCCATCATAAGGCACGTTAAAGCCAGAAACACGACCGTAAACCTGAAAAGCGCCATCTGGGATTATGTGCATGGAGGTAAAAATAATATACAGTACATTCAAATTGATGGTCTATTTATTCTTGTCTACAAATGTGAAATTATGCCATTCACCAGCAAAAATAGGCAATACAGAAAATCAAGACAGAAAGATATAGTTACAATAGAAACACATACACAATTATATACATGCGAACAACCAAATCATTATCATCTGTTCACATAATAAAAGAGGTCTAACTTATCACAAAGACTTTTGAAAAATCACCCTAAGACAATATCAATAGCCTTGTTCGTCAGCTTTTGATATGTGCGGACTATCAATCGCTTCAAATCCAGACTTAAGAACTGGTGGAAAGAAGCACCAGATAACAATGATGACAACCCCAACCAAAGGAAACCATGGATAGGAACATGATGAACATCAGTCTAAAGACTGAATAATCCTGGATCAAGTGAGTTACAAGTGAGTTATTACAGTGATGAATTTCATAATCGGAGCTTGATTTTATATGTAATATTTAATACAGTTATCTAAAGTCTTTGCACATATATTATGCACATATTGCAATAGAAATCCTTATTTTTCAGCAAGGACTACAGCAAGAGATTTTTGAAAATGTGAGTGAATTCGGATGAACACTTAGAAATTTAGCCATTTTTACAGAAATTTTGTAGGCCTATTTTCTAGAAATGTCACCTTGAAGTTTTTCATGATCATGTAACCCGGTAGCGTGTAATTACAAACCATCTTTCTTATCCGCATATTGAGTTGCCCCTACACAAACAAAGTTAGCTAAAATTAGAGTTTTCCTCAATTTCACCAGCAAACAGTACATTCTAGTGGAAGATATGTATTGTAATGTGATGAATTTAATCAATTTGAGAACGTACAACGAATTGGAGAATATTATTGTGCCCAGTACAGTCGACCAATCCGCCAATTAGAGATTTAGTGATATCAGCTTTCGAACATTCACAATTTTTCCAACTTGTCCAACGCACGTTGCATTACACTTTTTCAAGAAGTTTTCCGTCCTACAGAGGAACGACCATATTTGAAGTTCGAATTTTATTTGTTCCCCATTTACATAAATGAATATGATGGACAAAGAAAGAGGACAAAATATACAGTTCCTCAGGTAGACAAAGGAACATCCCTTCACTGCTATTATGTAAAGTGGTGAATGTGCATGTGACACCTGTTCTACCACTTTACATAATAGCAGTGAAGGGATGTTCCTTTCTCTACCTGAGGAACTGTATATTTTGTCCTCTTTTTTTGTCCGTCATATTCATAGTGATACTAACTGAACAGTAACAAAACCGTACCTAACTGAAATAAAATATAATGTATGGTCCAGAAGCAAGGTGTTTCGAGGACAATGTAAACAAAATATATTTGGACGGGAGAGTTAAAGTTGAACTTCAAAGAAAATCACAAATATGTCAACTAATGTATGACTAGAAACTGGTAAGCTAACAGATGGCCATCGTACAAGTTTTAGGTCAACTACATATCGGGTGATTTATAAAAATACAAATACAACCACCGGCATAGCAGCTGGGATATACGAGAGATTCGCCGGAAAAATAAAGATGTTTTAATGACGTCACTATATGGACCAATACTGCCCAAGCAGACGACATCCCATAGAGAATGAACATAATTGCAAAGCTTTTATTTGTCAAATTATAATGAGTTTAGTGTATATAAATGTGATGGCATGTCAAACCATTCAAAAGGGGATATGACCCGATTCCGATAACTAAAATCTTTTGCTTGTAAATACACAGGATAGGGGTTAATTAACAGTCAAAGAAACCAGACTTTCGAATTGAAAACCCCCGGAACGATGTTGAGGACGGCATTTGTTCCCTCTTGAAACGCCGAACATACCGCGGTGTGTCCAGCTGAATATTCAATGGCGTCTTATTTGTTTACAAGCGACAAATTCCTTTATTTTTGTATCGCTGCATTTGTCATCAAAATAAAACCATGTGCGGGGTTAAGAGTGAGGCAATAGATTATACATTTAGCCTGACGGTAGTGGAGTAAGAGAAAGAACTCAAGAAAAGATGAAAACACAGGCACTGAAAATGTGTGAGATGTCATGGGACATCGTCTGCTTGTGCAAGTCATGTCCATACTGTGATCTCACGCAATGATCTCAGCAGCGTTTGGGGAGCTCTTCAGGTGCTATGACGGGGCTGTATTTAAGCGTTTTATAATTTATAATAATCATTATTTCGAATGTTTCCAAGCATTGAATTTTGATAACCTTGTCGAATCAACGTTTCAACTTTGCAATAATGAAATTAAGTTAGTTTTTAAAATCAATAAACATCAACTTTAAGAATCAAGTACAAGGAAATAATGTGCGTTATGTTCTAAGTGATATTTAGCACTATTTCATAGAGCCTATATGAGGAAAGCTACCCTCAGAATTTCCCGGACAAATATCCTTAGACAACTACCCCAAGGACAGCTGCCCCTAGGACAATTATTCCCGGACAACTACTCCATCGTAAGAGTAATGTCACCAAAATTGCTTTTGACTGAGATACTTTTCCTATAAGAAGATATTCCGAGGTAACTGTCCTCGGTGAAAAGTTGTCTTAGGGATCATTGATCGGGAGAAACTGTCAAGGATCGCAATCAATGAAGTATTTCAGAATCGTAATTTTAAAAACTTGTGAGAAATACGATAATGAATTGCCGCAGTCAGTGACCAGAAGATAAATGCTGAGTGAATGACCGAGTTGGAAGTTATTTCCTTTTTGTTATTCTCGTTTTGAAAAAATACGCGATGAGTAAAAACAAAAATTATAAACAATTATTTAAAAAAAAGTTTAAAAAAAGAGGCGTGGTACTGCTTTATTCAGATCACAACCTCGCTGAAAATGATGTGAAACACAACTAGAGTTATATTTTGTACACTTTCCACTAATTCTAAAATAGGCCTACGACTGTCGAGGTGCTTTCCAATTTGGTTTGCTTTCAGTAGAAACGTAAGCTCGCATGTGGTAAACAAATAGTTTTCACACTCTTAATTCATGCGACTCTATAATACATTTGACTTGAAATTGAACAAAAGATGTGTTTCCTCTATTCAATAGTCTCCTGTACTGATTACTCGTTTGCTACTTGGGATATTGAAAAGAAGGGATATGTCCCCATCACAAAAATAAGAGGAAGAATAATTGCCACTTGATCAATGAAGAACGGCAACGTAATTTTTACATTTAAAAAAAGAAGATGTATATATATATCATATGCAATATTCCAGATTTTTGTTCACCCTCAATAAGACTTAATCTCATTTTTAACCTTTTGCCTCACTAATAATTATGTCGCAAAAAGAAGAAGTGCGCTTCACATGAAGAAAGCAATACAATATAACGTTACCTTGCTCTTTTGAAAAGTCAGATGGATGAAAACCTCTGAAAAGTGTGACAGCAGGCTGGGGGAAATCCGAAGAGAATCGAAGATGAGGAGGATAGACCAGCAAAGATTCGACGAATGGTGAGATGCTCATGCCGGCAACCCCTTAAATAAGCATTAATGAGAAATATGCCCCGCCCCCCTCTCCCCTGAAACCACAAAGTGCGCATAACCTTCGCCTATGTTAATAGCCATAAACCATATTCGAAATTAAAAAAAAAAAATTTGGGGGGGGGGGGCGTCATATTTGTTTGCATATTCTGACAGCGTGAAGCATTATTTCTTCATCACAATCTTTAGCATCGCTGGATTTCGTGTGCAAAGTTGTTTTTCATGGTCATAGCTTGTCACTTTGGAAACATTGAATTTTGAAACAAAAAATAAACAAAGGTAGTAATTTAGCTAATACCTTTTTTTACTTGAAGGAAAGTCGCTATTGTAGCATATTATCTAACCATCAGTAAACTGTAATTGCGTCAGTTTCAGTGCCAGAAGGATGTTGATGAAATGTTAAATGCACGCTATCCGTTTAACGCCCCCTCTGTCTCAATGCCGACCGTCATTGTATTCTATAGAAGGCCACTAGTCAACCAAAAGGTATTAACAAAAAACAAGCCTTGTTAAATGATAGCTTTCATATCGATTTCATGGCGGACGGATTCTTGATTACTTATCATTGAAGGAATAATTTAATACTCCATTAATTTATTTGTATACCTTCTTATCGATTTATGTATTTAGTCATTTCTCTATTCAATTGTTTGTTCATTTTGTTTAGTTAAAGATAAATATGTGAGTGCTTGTTACTTTACCAAGACTCGGTCAAATTTATTATGATTTTGTTGACTCCAGAACCTTGCAGTGCACACCAATACTTACATGCTACATGATCAACTGTTTCTGATCCTTTCCACACCTTTTCTTTCACAATGCAATCGCATTACCAGTACTAAAGTTTATCTTTAATACTCATTTCCCGTTTTCTATTTATATTTGTAGGCATTTGTCCATAAACATTGACTACTTTGTATGAATGGAACGAAGAAAGAATCACTCGAAACTACTTTAAAATTGACAGATTCTGTATTACTTATTAATTATGTAATTGACACATTAACTTACGTATGTATTTATTTATCTATTTAGTTATTCAATTATCCACTCTTATGTTTGTTTAATTTTTCATTTTGTCTTACATATTCATTTCTAAAGCTATTTATTTATTCTTTCATTTATTTGTGTATAAATAAGTAATGGATTGAATACAAAGGCATCTGTGCAGAAATGTTCATTTTTTAAACTACTTTATACTATCAATGTAATTTATAAAGGATTACTCGAACTGGTACTCGATATAAATCTCTATCTGAAAAATCTTTTCACACTCTGACCTTGGGTATTATATTTGTTTGGTGATGATTGTTTTATTTGACTGCTAAGAAAGCATGTATATGCTTGTAAGTAAACAACCAGGGGGATTTAGTAATGAGGATTTATGCCTTACCATAAAGCACGAACGTATTGACTTGGTTAAGAAAGCATGTATATGCTTGTAAGTAAACAACCAGGGGGA